GTATTTTTTGTTTCCTATACTAGCTGACTCCTATCTCTTTTCTCTTTTCTTCCAATCCTTGTTCTAAAAAAAATTCCCCCCCCCTCTCAGATGAATGGAAGAGATGATTATATAGGAGAGATTAGGGTAGATTTTTGGGGGGAAAGAGGACGAATTCCAAATTCAAAAATTGAATTCTTTCCCCAATTCGACCAAACACCCTTTCCTCTAAGATTTCAACCCATTCCGTAAGAGGAAAGGGGAGAAACGCGTGTTTGTACGACTGCTGCTGCGACATTAATGGATAGGGACATGAGGGAGACGACAAAATTTGAAGTGTTCTGTCTCGTTCCTCGCTGCTCCGTGTGTTTTGACGGAAAAATCGACGTCGTTTGGAGACGTCGAAGGCGCTGCCTTACCGTCTTGCAACTGCTGCTTTGTCGCTTTAGCTGCTGTTAACGTTTTCTGTTTCTGGGTCTTCTTTGGTGAATAGGGGGATTGGGTTAGGTCAAGGTTGATGAGAAGAAAGATTTGGGCCGGATCTGTTGAATTGGGGAATAAAATAAAATGAAAAGGGTATGCTGGAAACTAAAATGGGCTGCCAGAAAATATAAGTGAATGGCCCAAGTTGGTCTTTTTATATTAGCCAAATGAATTATTGATTTGACCAAATTGAATTTCACTAGTAAATTCGACTAAGACTTAGATATGATGAATTAATATGATTAATTTATGAGCTTCTCAATCTTGACGAAGTAAAATAATTAACTTAATTATAAACTAATTACTTTAACAATATAAACGACTAATTAACCAAATATTTAAATAAAGCTAAAATCCTTCCGAGATAATTTTTGAACACTCGTAAAATATACTAATTAGACACATAATTATATAATAATTAACTTAATTATAAACTAACTAATTAACTCAAATTTGTAAACTATTAGATAACTAAACAAACTAACCAAATATCTAATTGAACAAAATCTTTTTGAGACGATTTTCCAATATTTATGAAATACACTAATTATATACATAATTGTATACAAGACATATTATTATTTAAAAATTATAACAAGTGACAAACTATTTGAAACAACTTGCAAATTATTCTATTATATATTTATTTATTTATTTATTTGAAATTTCTAAAATCAATTACTTTAAATCGTTTGAAAATTAAGAAGCTCAAAATTAATTATTATCGGGGAGGGTCAAAATTGGGTGTCAACAGAAATAAATGTGAAGAGTTTTTTTCCCGATATTTATTAAAAAATATCATAAAACTAATCACATTTGAGATAAATGACATAAAAATAATGACATTTTGTGACAAATGTCATAAATACAATGATATTTGAGATAAAATATCGTTAAAACAACGACATTTAATACAAATATGTGTACAAATGTCATAAATATTATGACATTTATTTCAAATAGCGATATCATAGCGATGTCAAAGCTCCATATCAATCTCCTAATGCCAAACCAAACCCACGCATTTAATATTTAACTTCTTAATCATTTGCAGTAATATTGAATTAACTAGGAGCGTATATGGTTGGGTTGGTTTGAGTTTTTCAACTATCAAATCAAATTATTTGTGTCAAATGCTTAAATTCATAAACCAAACCAAGCTAATAAAAGTCGGGTTTTTCAACTTCGAATTTATTTTGGATTTTCAATATTTTTTTTACCGGTAAATTAAAGTGTTCATACAAACATATAATTAACTTGTGCTTCAAATATTTCTTTAGTCCTACCAAAAGACAACTATCTAAGGTGTTTCTTAAGAAAATAACACAGAATATGAAATGAGTGATGACAATAAATTAAAATATTCAACAGAAAATAATAATGAAATCGTATAAAATAAATATTGCAAATTAATAAGTCATAATGAAAATGGTCATAATTTATATAAATCATGGTATAATCCGTCTAATAAGTATTAATTACTTGATTAAACATTAAAGAAAAATTAAAATTAGGTTATGTATTTTAAATGTTTAAACCAATGTAAAACTAAAGAACAAATATTCAACATTATTATCATTCTTAGTTTTGAATTTTTGTTAAAAAAATTAAAATTAGTATTGATTTGAGCTTTATTGGAATTACTTATATCCATGGACTATAACCTTTATTGGACCATTCAAAATTGTAAGTCTAAAAAAAATTGAAATAATATGTTAAAAGATAAAAATTATGAAAAAGTATAAGAAATACTTAGAAATTATATCAAAGTAAATACTTTTATGTATACAATTATTTTATTTTATTTATTATAGCTACATATAACATACCAAAATAAATTTAAAAATATTTTGATAAAATTTCTCAAGAATCAATTTGAGTTACATATCAACCAATTGTTAATTAATAGATTGAACTAATAAATAAGCGGACTAATAATCCACGTAAACTTAAACAGATTGAGCGAATTAGACAGATTGAATTAGATTTTTAATTTTCATCCCCAAATATAAAGCTACTAAAGTGATAGATTCAAGAACTTTTTTTGTGAACATTTTCCTTTTCTTTCCTTTTTTTCAAAAAATCGTTAACCTTAATTACAAACTTTCTTGCCGTGAAGATTTTGAACCATGTGTGTTTAGGCCCCCTCTAAATTATCACTAATTAGCCATATTCACGTGGCTTCTTAATTACCAAGAGTATGAGATTAGCTGCCCCATAACTTCTCAAAACATATTTAAGATCAAATAATTTAAAGAATAGTTTTAATATATTAATATATACTTTAATTTAAAAGTATTATCTAATATTTTAAATTTTGTATCAAATTAAATGAAGAAGGCACATAAATGAAATAACAAGAGTAAATATTATTCTCCAATAAGTGAGTTAGACAAACTTAACTGAGATGACAAATAAATAGTTAAAATTAAATTTGAGCAGATCAAGATGATCAGATGAATGAATCAATAAATAAATCGTCGTCCAACTTTGCTTAAAGCATTCCTAGGCAATTTGATTCTTCCATTCATTTGGTTTTGTAAATGGGAATAATATTGACGTTTTTAATAGTACCATCACTACCATACAACATCACTTTCTCAATTTACTAGTATTGCTTAATTTCGTTTTTACTATGATTAATTTATTTTTTGATGCTTTTCAGATCTCTTGTATTTAAAACTGAAGATCTCTTATATACAAAAATGTCATAAAATTATTTAAGCTTCATGTAAAAAATGTCTGAAATTCAGTCAACTATATAACTTGACCTCAACCAAAAATGTCTGAAGTTTATTCCAATAATACCAAGATCAATAAGGCAATAGGTACATTACAATTAACAACACAAAGTATAAAATGGAGGTTTCAAATAAATTTGTTTGAAGTTGTTTTCAAAACGGATAAATTTGTAAAGAACAATAACTTGAGATAAATTAAATGACGATTTTAAAACAGATATTTTTTGACTCCGCCCATCAAAATTACTCTTAGCCCAAATTAATTACTACTTGATGGATGGGGCAAATTACATAGCTTTGACTAAGTTTTGCCATGCCTAGATGCAGTTGACCTAACCACTATGCACTAGCTAGCTAGGTTCCCCCCTCCTCATTAATGGAGTAGGAGATCTTTGATTTTTTCTAAATAAATTTCTGATCACATTATATTATAAGTTAAATACTATACGTACTTCACTGACCACGTGAAATGTAATTAAATTTCTTTAATTAAATCGTTCATACTAATAATGAAATTACAAAATTGTTTTTTGGAGTTCATTGCTTACGGTTTTGGTTTTACAAGTTCAGCACTATATTATATGAAATAAAATTAGCTATATCCAAATTAATTTAAGTTTAATGTAAGGTTATTTATAGTGGGTAAGAAAATAACTCACTTTTTGTATAAAACGTGCGTTGCATTCTAGCTGGTACAAAACATATTTTTTTACTTGTGTGTTGGTTGGAAGGAAAATATTGTTTTCCACGGAAAATGTTCTCCTACAAAATATTTTTCTTAAAAAGAAGTAGTTTTCTTACTTATAATAATTAGTTAGTAATTAAAATGAAAATATTATTCCGTTTCTTTTTAGATAAATGAAGGCAAATACTGTAACACGGAACCCAGACTCCCACTCTTTAACAGAAACCCGGAATCCTATCACACTGCCACACAATACCCAACCTAGCCCCAACATCGAATTAAGAAATGACCCTCACCCAAACTGCAACCCAGGATCAACCTTGACCCTGAGTTGGAGTTGGGGTGGGAATTGAATTTCGGGTTGAGGTCAGAATCGTCAGGGGTTCGAGTCCCGAGTCAGGATTTGGAAGTCAGGTCTCGAGGTCGGGGTCAGGAGTCAACTCTCAGGTCATGTAGGGGTCGAGGTCCTGAGTCGAGATTGGGGTCAAAGTAGGTTCATGGTCATGGTGAGGAGTCGAGTCTTGGGTCAGGGTCGGGATAGGGAATATGATATCGGATCAGGTTGGGGTCAAAATTGAGGTCTGGAGTTAGGACCTGGGAAGGAGTTAGGGTCGCGTCCCGGACTGAGGTCAAAAGTTGAGTCCCAAATTGGTATGGTGTCGGGGTCAAGAGTCGGGAGTTGGGTCCTGGGTTGAGGTCGGAGGGATGGTCCCGATTTAGTATTGGGGTCAAGGTCAGGAGTTGGGTCTTGGATCGGGTCCCTAGTCAAGGTCAGATCATGAGTAAAGGCAAGGCAGGAGTTGGATCCCGTAGTGGGGTCGGGAGTCGGTCCTTGGTCAAGTCGGGTGATGAGGTCGGAAGAGAGATTTTGAAAATGGTTTCCTTATTTTTATATATAGAAAAGTTATTTTTTAAAATTAGAGAAAAATAAATTTATTTGAAAAGTATTTTCTCTACAATGTTTATGTACCACACACACTCTTTGCTTTCAAAAGTCACATTTGATTCTCTGTATATTTTACTAACTCAAATTTACACTTAGGTATTCAGTATTCTATTATAAATAGAAACTCTAATATGTTAAACAACACAAATCTCTCTAGTTTGAGAAAATGGCCAAGTTTTCTCCTCAATCCCCAATAGCCAAAACATTTTTCTCTTTTTTCCTTTCTTTATTTTTCTTATTCATAATCTTCTCCTCATCCACTGCGACGATTCAAAATAATAATAGAAGGTATGTTAATTTTTATTCCGCTGTGGTTTTGCACATTGAATGTCTTACAATTGCTTCTTTTTGAATGACAACAACTTTCCACGTGGTGGGTCTGGGAGGTTGAAATGTACGCAGTACGCATAATTTTTTTTTTACCTTATTCTTTTTTTTTAATTTTATTTTACTTTAATACTAATATATATTTAAACTTATTTTGGTAGGCTTGAAGGTAAGGTAGCAATAATAACTGGTGGAGCTAGTGGCATAGGAGCAGCCACTGCTAGACTTTTTGTTCACCAAGGTGCAAAAGTTGTAATTTGTGACATTCAGGACAAGCTTGGAACATCCGTAGCACAACAAATTGGCAATAAGCAAACAATTATCTATGTCCATTGTGATGTCTCGATAGAAGCGGACGTAAAAAATGTTGTTAATACAACAATTGCTAAATTTGGTAAGCTCGACATAATGTTTAGTAACGCTGGTGTAATGGGCAATCCATTTACCAGTATCCAAGACATTGATTACAACATGATTAAGAACATATTCGATGTAAACGTTGTTGGAGGGTTTTTTTGCGCGAAACATGCTGCTAGAGTGATGATTCCGAAAAAGAAAGGTGTCATTATTTTCACAACAAGTATAGTGTCGACATTTTATAGTGATTTGGTTCACATCTATACTACTTCAAAGAATGCACTTTTGGGACTTACCAAGAATGTTGGAGTCGAATTAGCAAAATACGGAATAAGAGTTAATAGTGTTTCTCCTTATACAATTAGCACACCATTGATGTTAAATGCATTTAAAGTAAACAAAGAAATGGCTGATAAATGGTTTACAGAAGGAGGAAATTTGAAAGGAGTTTTACTAAGTGTGGAAGATGTAGCAGATGGAGTGTTGTATTTGGCAAGTGATGAATCTAGATATGCAAGTGGACTTAATCTTATAATTGATGGTGGTTATACCACTACAAATGTGGCTTTACCAGAGGTCTACAAGAGATTGTTCATCAACAAAACAATGTAATATTATTATTATTAAAGTAGGAATAAATAAATAAATAAATAAATAAATAAAGATAGACAAACTTATATATGGTGAAATTCAAATGATCATTTAACTATGTATCCGTATCAATATAAATAAAAAGCTAGCCCTCTTTGAACGATTGATTCCCCTCCTCCGTTTATTTTAATTTCCCAACAAATAAAAGTATTTTGTGCACTAGTCACTACAATAAAAGAGATATTTAGTGGCAGTTGATTTTATTTTTAGCAACAATATTTTGGTACCGTAAATATATTTAGTAGCAATTGAATTAATGTGACGGGAATTGCAATGTCTAATTTATGTATTAATAATAGAAAAATACATAATTTTGTCCAAGACACCTTGAGACAAATGAAATTAATGAAGGATACAAAAAAGTCTTAGTGCTAATATACATGGGATTGGGCCTGAGAAATCATGAGTATCCTATAGAATTCATAATTATAATAATGAGGGAAATATCCGTATGCCATAACCAAAAATTCCAAGAATTGCTAACCATTATTAAAAAAAAAAAAAGTGATTCCTCTGTGTACTGAAGATGGGGTGTTGGATCTAATATTTTTTGATGATTGACAAATGGTTTGGGCCAAAGAAGTTGGGTCGGAGCATAAGTAACATGGAACAGGTCCTTCCTATACATTCAGGGAAAGGGAAACTTTACATAAATTCTACTAGTTTATAAGCTAATAACTTAGATACATTTTAGTTTGTAATATTACAAATTTTATCAGATTTTGGTGCATCTAGATATGTTGAAATACATCCAGATACATATATCTTAGGATACATGGGGTCAAAATTAGGTGTAATTTGTTCTAGATACACTGTATCTAAGTGGATTTTCATGTATTTGAGATATATAACAAATCTTGCTCGCCACTCTCCTATGTATCTGAGATACAAGCGAATCACACCAGATACATACATATACATGTATCTATAGTGTATTTATGTATTTGAGATACATAACAAATCTTGCTCACCTTTCTCCTCATCTCGCTCGTTTCTGTCCCTATGTTAGTATCTGGTATCAAAAATACATGTAAAAGAAACTCTCTTAATTACTGGTAAAATATCTAATATTTTGAAAGTATAGGTAATATATATATATATAGTGAAGTATATCTAGTTTTGATTTTATAATGAAAAATTATGGTGTTGTTGATCATTTTCTTTATGCAGATCGTTCCTTGGGACGAAAGTTGTTTCTTTCCTCCATTTTAATAGTACTAAACTGTTTTAATGACTTAAAAATGATTTGTGAAATATCAATTAATTCCATACTTTAATTTTTTTCTTATAAGTTTTAATAAACGCTTCGATTATTAATATTTGAAAAGAGTCCTTTAAAACTTTATGTTATTTTTTTACGTACATGTGTATTCTAGCTCCGTTCCTTAGTCTAATATATATATTAAAGTTTTAGTAAGATGCTATCATCTGCTTTGGAATTTAATTAACTTTTTTTCTCTTCATTTTGGAAGATTTTCTTTTAACTCGTACGAGATATTGTTTTATTGATGTTGCAAGTTGCCTTCAAGTTTAAAATGGCTGAACATATTTTTATGTATAAAATTTCAACAATTTAATCATTTTGCTAAAATACGTGTATTAACTTTATGAAAAGGTAAAATAAGTATTTTTGCAATAAGGAGAAACTACCTAATTACACAAACATACCTATTATATTTACTATTTTTTTTTATTGTTTGAAATAATTTTATTTCATTAATTAATAATTTCATACCAAACTTCAAGTCAGATACATTTACATACATGTAAAACTATTGCTACTAGATACACTTAAATAGGGAAAGAGGGAAAGAGCGAGAACAGGAGGGAATCGACTGAAATTTGTCTATGTATCCCTGATACATGCAAATCACATGACTAGATACATACTAGATACATGTTTTTGATATGATTCATATATATCTGGAATACCAGATAGATATGCGAGCGGGATTTGTCTATGTATCTCAAATACATGCGAAGTACAGTGTATCTAGAACCAGGGGCGGCTCAACATAATTTAAGGCCTAAAGCGAAATTCTAATTAGAGGCCTAAAATTTAAATAAACTCTATTTGTATTTATTTAGTTTTCTAATCTTTAGATGTAAATTATTACTTAATGTCTTTTTTTATAAATGATTTTTTCAAATACTTTTTTTTCATTATTATTTTTAGGTAAGATTTTATCAATTCAATATTGAAAAACATCATTTTATTGAGACAATTATTATATGAATTGATAACATAATTTTACAAGTAATAAGTTGATAAACTTTAAATAAAGATAAGAGTTAGAATCATAGAATATGATTCAAAAGGTTGATAAGTGGTATACCCTTACTTTAATATGAAAAGTTACAAAGAAATAAAAAAAAGAATTTGTAATTCACTTTGTTCAACACTTTTCGACTATTGATTCATATTTTTGACAGAGTATTATTCTAACTATCAAAGATTTGAAAAAATAGAGTGCAAAAGGAGTTAAAAAGAATAGATAATGCGAGTGTTAACGAAGAAAATGTAAGAATTCAAAACAATGTTTTCTTGATTTCTTCTATTTTAATGGGGTTAAGAAGATTAAAATAATATATATATATATTACTTTTATTATAAATAATTAATTTTTTTATGAAAAATTAAACAATTTATTATTTGTAGAAATTTGAGTCCCTCCAAAAATTGGGGGCCTTAGGCATTGGCCTTGAAATTTATAGGCAAGAGCCGGCACTGTCTAGAACAAATTACACTTAATTTTGATCCCATGTATCATGAAATACATGTATTTGGACGCACTAAATTCTGATAAGATTGTTAATAATGCAAACTAACATGTATCTAAATTATTAACTTTTAAACTAGTAAAATTTTTATGAGTTACACATAAATTAATGACCGTGTAAAGCGCGAACATATTCACTCCAAAGGTAAAAAGAAATACATAGTCTTTCAATGACTTTGCGCCTCTTAAAAAAGGAAAATTTGATAAAGTAAAGGCAGGAGTAAATTAAAGTCAAGAAATAGGACTATGAATGATGAATGAAAATTAAATGTTATATTGGTTATATCATAGTCAAGAAAGACGACTATCAATCAAATTAAATCTACAATAAACAAATTCTTTTCACTTAGACTTTACATTTTGATGTTTTATCTTTTATGTGAACTTATATATTATTTAATCAAATCGCCAAGTATAATACTCACTCTATATTTCAATTTATGTGACACATTTCATTTTGAGATTCAAATCGTTTAAGTTTTATCGAGAATTTACTCGTGGAATCTTTAATTTTTTTTAAATTTAAATTTATATAGTTGTAAACTACGTAAAACTAATAGAAGTTATAATAATTGACAATTCAAAATATTTAAAAGATATATGAAAATTTTAAGATAAAAATAGACTTGTTTAAATTTTGAGATTCAAAATATGTCACATAAATTGAGACAGAGAGTGTGTTAGTTATCCATTCATGTTGTCTTCTTTCATCGTACACTATAATTGACATTTCTTTTCCTTCCACTTTCTTGCTTCTGGAAAGTATGTCAATTTTTCCTAATATACAATCGAATAATTTTATCCATAAATATTACATGAATATTTAATTCCAACCAGTATAATAGTAATAAATAATTAAGTCCATTTCATAACTAGTCTTTTTATAACCTACTTAATTCATTAATAAAAAGTAAGTTACAACTTATAACTTTAGAAAATCGCTATAAGGCATTGGTAATTATAATGCACATCAATATTAAAAAACAAAATAAATATGAATATCTAATTTCACATAAATCTTTGGGTGTAATTTCTTGTGACGGACTTATAAAAATATATCTCACAAGCACCAACTTTAATTGGAAGTGCATATAAGAGATCTCGATAGTCAAATTTGAGCTTTGAATATAGAAAACGTTCTGTTGAAAGCGTTATCCTCGAATGGACCTCCACGCGCGAACTTCAATTTCCCTTTTTAAATAGTAGCTCTAGGAATATCAACAATTCGATCCGCAGCCTATCTTGAAATTATTTAAGCAATTAAAATCAAACTTAGAATTCCTTAACGATTCTAAAGTCAAGGAAAACGACTAGTTTCTTTTAACTCAAACAATTTAGATAATATATATTTCATTTATTGCGCTAAAAATATCCTTTAGTCCACATTTTAAATTAGATAGCAATCTTTTATAGCTAACAAGCTTTTTTTTAAATAATAATAATTATTATTATGTATTACGTGACCCTTTTCAATTAGATAAAATTAAATTTTAATCCATCAAATTTTCTCTTTTCTTTTTTCCTCTTTTTAAGGCTACTTTCAACCCAAATACTCAAATTTTCTAGTGCAATACTATATTGAAGTGGAAGGATTCAAGTTGGAGAATTGGTAGTGGTTCTTTTTTGTTTGTTGCTATCTGAATTTTGATTTTTAATATTTATTGATATGGTGTAGTGTCCTTTTCTATCTTTTTCTCTCTCTTTTTTTCCAATACTTTATTCAATTTTTTTGCTTTATTTATTTATTTGTAGTTTATTGTGGACCCTATCTTTTATTTGTGTTTGTATTTTAGGACGATAAATATTGACACATTTTTTGACGTTTTCTTTAAATAATGTTGATGGGTCACTTTTCTTGTTTTTTTTCTTTTATGTATTCTCTTTAAAGAATATGATTGAGAAGATTGATTTAGTCTTTATGAACTATTTACATATGCAAGTAGATATTGATATCTCAATTCTCAAGTGGGTCTTTAATTATTGAAAAGGTTAATTTGGTCTTTCACTACTGAGAAGGTTTATTTACATATTTTTGGGCTTAAAGCAAGGATATTTTTGAAAAAAATAAAAAATAAATTATTTTATTTTATTTTAATTTAATTAGTTTATAATAATTTTGAAACTATAGGACGCATTGTATTTTAATTTTATATCCATATCCTTTAATTATAACTTGATTAC